TCCTGGTACTCACTATGTAGACCAGGCTGGCCTCGAACTCACAAAGATCCACCTGCCTCTGCCTCCCAAGTGCTGGGATTAAGGGCGTGTGCCACCATACCTGGCCTAATAAAATATTTTTTTAAAAATTTGAACTTTTATGCCACATTTAAATTCTAATTCATTTCCACTCAATGATCCTGATTCTTGGTAATGCAGTAAAGACTTCTCTAATACTGCTCTGACAAAAGGCAGTGCGCATGCTCACATGTGCACCCCAGATGGCAATGCTGCATCTCCTCTTACACAGCACCACTACATCTTCTTTCATTCAGTGAGTGGAAATTCAAGAGCAGAGACACGTAAGCTACTTTCATGGGCTCTGCGTTCCAGGAAGTGCTGTGAAGGAAAAGAGGGGTGCAGCGGAGCTAAGCAGGACAGCCTCACAAGGGTGATGTTTGCACTCAGGCCTGAGTGTCAGCTCCAGGAACGAAAAATATGATGTCAAAGCACTTCAGGCAGGGACCCAAGCAAGGGCCCGGTGGGAATAAGCTTGTGATCCAGAAACAGAAAGGGGAGTGCAGTGTGGATCAGAGGAGAAGGAATCAGTTATTAGGGAGGGAGTCAGTTAGAGCAAAAGAACACGCTTTGAGAAGACTTCATGCAAAGAAAGCAGAAGCTGATGTGCCCTGACTATTACGTGAGTGCACAGGAGCGGGAGTCAAGGGAGACCAGCTAGGCTTGGCAGGAAACACTTAGAAAGGGTTAAATGTGGGAGGAGAAGACACAAGGCAAGAATCAAGGATGAAAGGAACTCAAAGATGACACCGTATCCATGTGAAGATCTGCTGCCATCTCACTGAGGAGGTGAAGAGAGGGGAGAGACCAGGGTATGATTACTAAGTGCCATGTAGAGCACTGTCCTGAACACATACATGCGTTAACCATGAAGCAGGTATTAACAAAATTATCCTCATCATAGACAAAGAAACTGAGGCACAGAGAAGGAAAGCAGCCTGTATGCAGGCAGACTGCTATGTGTTAAGGCTTGCCTTGGGTCCAGGTAGTATGACTCAATCAGTAACTAAGGATAATCATGTATACATGTTTTCCTGAAAAGAGAACTACTCTGAATTTACTGTTTTATAACCTCTCATTTTAATCAGATTGCTTTAACTAAAAAACATTGAGAGCAAAAGTAGGTAGTGTAAAATGAATTAAGGACTAAAAGAGAAAAAATTCAGGAAAAATGGATAAAAATGATTCAAGACATAAAATAGTTACACATTCACCAAACTGAAATCAGGACATTTATTTTCCACCAACTGTCAGTTCCACAGGGGTAAGCAATTTGCTGTCAGCCCAAAGCTATGCCACTAATCCCCTTTCTTCCTTTCAGCCCAAGGATGCTCTTAATGGTTCAGAATTATTTATAGCTCAAAATAGCTGGATCTGTGATTCCAGCTAATCAAGAACAGAAATAGGCAGTTCCATCGAAAACGCAATAACCAGCCTTGCAAAAACTAATATACACACCTTGGAAATAAAGATGTCAGAAAAAACAACGTTACTAGAAGACATCCTTTTAAAAGCCAAGAATCTGAATCCAAATCCAGTATGACTCCAACAGCCCACAGGGTAATCACAGAAAGCACCAGCAGCAGGAGGAGCTATTGAGAGATGAGACTTTTAGAACTTCATGGACTTTATCAGTTCAGTATAAAGAACTACTTCTTAAGTGAGCAATAACAATAACTGAACTAACATAGATTCTCTCCAAAACTGCTGTCAAATTTAAAAGGAGTGATTTATACACCTTTTAAAAGTCCTAATTTTCTAAATTTTGCTTTTTCTTTCCTTTAAGAAATGCTGTTTTCAAAAGAAAAGCAGTAATGAAAATTGAAATAAACAATATTCTCCTTCAATTAGTAGTGTGTATCACCAAGAGTAAAGCAAGCTGAAGGGACCACAGAACTAACACAGCCAAGACAAAACTGAAGAGTACAGTGACCCCAACTTGGGCACAACCTGGAGCCTGACACCCCCCCCACCGGAACAGTTCTGAAAAAGCTTTGCTTGGAGCAGTGGAATTGACCCCAATTTGGGCACAACCTGGAGCCTGACACCGCCCCCCCCACCGGAACAGTTCTGAAAAAGCTTTGCTTGGAGCAGTGGAATTGTGAATGTCTACCACCACCCAGAAGAGACCCAGGAAGTGGTCTAAAAACCAGGCCTACCATTTTAGAAGACCTGAGGTTTATTGGCACATGGCGGGAAAGCCATGGATAACCAACTCCCAGGACTGTGTGAAGCTGGAAAGGAGCAGAATCTTAGCCAGGGTTAAAGAACAAATCTAATTCCCCAGAAGCAGCCAAGAAAGACTGACCAAAAAGCCAAGTTGAAAACCTGGGGAAGAAGTTTCAGAGAAGCAGGAAGGAAAGACTTAGGAAAGAAGGGGTTAAGCTGGGTGCGGTGGCACATGCCCTTGTAGTCCCAGCTTTTGGGAGGCGGAGGCAGAGGCAGAGGCAGAGGCAGGCAGATCTACGGGATGGAGGCCAGCCTGGTCCTATGTATAGGGAGTTCTGGGCGGGCTGGGGCTACAGGAAGACCCTGTCTCTAGAACAAAACAAGGACGACAACAAAAGGAGGGATTCCTGATATCAAACATCAAATGGAGGTCAAAGACTGAAATATTTCTTTTGGAATGCTAATGACCCAGCTTACTTTGAAAAAGTTAATGAGCTAACGGGAATGCCTGCTGTCAGGCCAGGTTCCACATAGTGCAATTCAGGACCTTAATTCTAAGTTGCCAACTCTGAAACTCAGGGCTTTTGTAACAGCAGAGGCAAAATGTACTTTGTCTTATTTTCTTCCATGTTTACTTACCTGTTAGTTTATCTGGGAACAGATAATTTCAAATGACATCAAATCTTTAAAATGTTCCCTATTCTGACTTACTGACATAAAATATACAAGTCTAAAAATTTAAAAGCAATGTAGAATCTGTAACATAATTACAAAATATTCAAAAACCAGTATTAAATGTGGATACCACAACTGCAAATCTCAGCGATACAGTCTTGTACCTGAGCCACTCTACACTGAGGGGATCCTCCATAAAGGCACTGCTCTATACACCTGAGACATTAATGAACTTAAAGTCTATCTTTCATGGAGCTTAAATTTTAGCTGAGAAGACAAACCATGAAGGTTAAGGTATAGGAGGCCTCTGTCAGGACTTGGAAGAAATGGGAGGTGTCTAGGAGGCGAACGACAGGACCTGACTTACATCTTCAGTGCTCATCTGCTGGACTAGCATGAAACTGATGAAGTGAAGGGAAGGGACCAAATTCTAGGTACAAACAAAAGGCAGGACCAACCGGAACCAGCATAAAGAAAGTGAATTCTCCTGTCTCCCCTGCTGCCCTAAAAACAATGCACAAAACTCCCATACCCCACAGACCCCACAGGAAATACCTCACATTTCTGCAGCCATCTCCAAAGTCTGAACTTTTTGTTGGCTCTCCTTTTGGCTTCTGTTCTTAGCATGTGAGTAATAAGCTGGTTCTTAGTTTGTAGAGCCATATCGAGAGGTGTTTCTCCCTTGAAAAAATAAGAAAGCACGATTATTTTTTATATAAATGTTAAAACATTTTTTTCACCAGAATCGCTCAACACATTTGCTCTAAAAGTAGATAGTTATTGCTAATATTTATTTTGTGATGTCTAAACAAAAGCACATAGTTATGTGTCCATTAAGTTACTGATCTTCTAACTACAGACACAAGAAACCAAGGAGGATAAACACCTGGCCATACCTTAGCATTTCGGATGTCCAGGCCAGAACCAGCTTCCAAAAGCTTATCAACAGCACTGACATTTCCTGATGCAACTGCCCAGTGAAGTGGCGTGTTCTGATGTACTTTATCAACAACACTGAGAGAAGGATTAAACTTTATAAGGAATCCAGTTGGCTCTGGCCTGTCTCAAAACAGTAAAATATCAAGAGGCATTAATAGGGATGAAGATCTGAGGAGAAAAATGCCAACAATGGATTTTAAGGCTAATTTATCAATTAACCAGTAAGCATTCTGAAGAACGAAGGAACTTCTTTGGAGTGCTATTCTATTTATTAATAGAAAAGATTAAACAAACAAGGAGGATAGCTGTTAACTGCAGCCTGCCATATCAGTGACATAATTCAGACATCAATACTGCAAAATGGGAAAAAAGTCCACTTCCATGTTGGTCTACTTAGGACTGATATTTTTTAAACTGTGGAATTATCCTTGGCCAATATTAAAAGCTATACAATTAAACACTAAATGTATTTAAAAAAAATTTTTTAGCAAATAAAATAAAAGCTAACTTTACATTCTCTTTTTTACTCAATTAATACATAAAATAGGTATAAATACAAGTTGAATATTCCTTTTCCAAAATGCTTGGGACCAGAAGTGTCCTATAGTTTTTAGGGGGATGGTGATTTGGGGATATTTGCTTATCCTTGGGGATAAGAATCAAATCTATGGAAAGACATTTGTTTCATATGTATCTTATATGTATATAGCCTAAAGTAGTATTTAAAAAAATAATTTTGTGCATAAAACATGGTATGAAATTTTCCATTTAAGGCATCATCTTTTGCCTCAAAAAATTTCAGATTTGGAATATTTAGGATCTGGAATTCTGAGATTAGGAATGTTCAAATTATAGTTTCTTAAACTATCAGTATATTTTAGAAAGTGATAGACTAGAGACCATCTGATAAAATCCACCCCCCCCTCCTTTTAAGACAAGGTCTTATTATATAGCCCTGGCTGATCTGGAATTCGCTATGTGGACTAGGCTGGCCTTGAACTCAGAGTTCTGCCTGCCTCTGCCTCTCCAATGGAATACTGGGATTAAAAGCCCACATCACCAGGCCTAGCCAAAATATTTTTTCTTTACTATCAATAACTTTCTCTCCTTCATAACTACTAAAGAAATCTATTAAATAAAAACAGTATTTAACTTTAATTCTATCAAGCTCTTTAGACTACACCTGATTTGGATTTATCAGTAGAGAGAAAATGCTTTCTGACAAAATTCTCTCCATAGCCCCACTACTCCATGAAAAGAAGGAAATGGGATTAGAGCAAACCCAATTCCAAGGAGCAAAGGCGACAAGAAAGCACAGAACTGGGCATCAGTGTGATGTTGGAAACACACGCTGAGGACGCTGAGCACGCAGGGAGAGCAGCAGCAGGACTATGTGCTGTCACCAGTGTTTACACAGTTCACAGAGGAAACAGCACGTGTATGACCCCATCATGTGAAGAATCTTTTCACAGACCGCCTATTAGTATCTTCAGAGCAGTCAGCAATAGTATCTGAGAATTTCAACTTGGTGCTTTCAGGAAAGCATTTACTGTCTAGGTCTGAGGTTATGAGAACATTTGAACTTGTGGCTGTTGAGTACAAAAGAAGAACCGATCACATTAAACCACGTGCTCAGGAACCTTCCATTCCGTAAAGAAACCTTTCCATTCGTAGCTTTCAAACTTTTCATCAAAGCTACTGGAAGAGAGAAAATGTACTTCAATGGCGCATTCTAAGTACAACTTTAAAAAATCTACGTCACAGCCTACGACAGGCAATCTTCAGCATGTACTACCATCTCACATAGAACGAGACACTAAACATTGTATTTACAGAACAACCATAGGACCTGAGGCCCAGAGGGAAGTCAGCACCACTCACCCAATCACTTTGTAAGCTGACAGCATGAGAGGTGTCTGTCCATTTACATCTGTCATATTCACGCTCTAGTAAAAAAAGGAATCATTCAGCAAAATGGTCAACAGTATGAAAGAGTCTCATGTCTAAACAGATAAATACTTCTCTAATCCATTCTACTCCACCATTGTTCTATAAAAAGTGCCAGTGTTACATTAAAAAAGTGCTTCACTTTTATAGGATAAAAAAATCTACAGACGTCTACAGAGTATTTTAAAGGGAAATCAGGACATATGATGTATGTTGTGTTGTTGGATAGGCATGTCCTCTGAAAGAACTAGCAACAGCTGGCTGACTGCACCCTAAGAGACTCTGTAGAAAGGCAGACAGTCACCCTTCCACCCAATTGGTCAGCTTTAACTGCATGAGGAAAGAGTCTAAGGAGAAACAGGAAGAAGTCAGGGAGGTGGCGCAAGTCCACCATCTTGGCTGGCACTTTGGCAACATCTGAAAAGCTTAGCTGAGATGTAGGGAGAAAAGCCCACAGGCACGTGCCTCTGTAAGTAACCCTCTCCTGGACATCATAAATTTGGTCCCAAGGGCAGTGTGGTGGGGAGGAAGTCGTCGTAGTGTGCCTCACAGAGGGCCTGGGAGCTTGCAGCGCAGGCCTCCCAGAAGTGAATGTTGCCTTACAAACGTGTTCTATGTGAATGCAGAGAGCAGGGGAAATAAAATGCTCAAAGTCACCATTGAAAATGAGAAGTCATCAAGGCTAGACCTTAACTGACAAGTGGATCTATGCCACCATTGGTTCAGGAACAGTGAGCTACTCAGTACCTCAGCACTTCTATTTTGTATTTGCTTCAAAGAGTTAAACAGGAAAAACTGAGCAAGGAAGGCAATCATTCTTGATGAGGATAAGGTCCTTCTACGTTAGAACTGGTCCAGCTCTCCTTTAGTAAGTGGAGCCTTGAGGCCCCTGGAGAGAACACTCAAGAGACTTAGATGCTCGCAGGGCTCCTCCTGCAGCATTCCGAAAGGAAGCCCAGCAGGCTGTAATTATTCGACTCCCCTTGGGTAAGTCTGAGAGAAAGTGCTTATTTAGAGGGCACACTCACTCCAGTGGCATTTGCATAAACATGTTTCCATGCTATTCCAGGCATGACTGTTAACATGTAACTACCTCGTTACCAGAAAGCACCTTCCAGGCAAGCAAGCACGCTGACAGTGAAACGCCCACTGCTGATGGCCTATGAGTTAACCTGTGCCTCTGAAGGCAAGTCATGTTTCTGTGAATTGCTCACAACAATAAGCAGCATTCACATGGCCTCCCATCTGTGCCCAAATAATGAAAGCAAATGGGTTAATTTAGTGAGCAACTGCCATTTCTACACTCAAATACAAGAAAAGTACAGGCTGTGAAGTCACGTTTTTGAAAAACTACAAATTACTGGTCTCATAAGAAAAACTATTACAGACTTACAAGTTTCAGAAACATTACATGTTACTGAGCTAAAATAACCTGTCGTTTCCTCGCCAATAAAGCTGAAAATGGTACTTACAGCTAGGCTTACAGAGGTTCGTATTTTAATTTCTGGATATCCATTAACTTCCATTTTAAAAATGAGGACTATGACTAATAATCTTTCCAGTCTCTTCAGACTACACCATTTGGAAGTGTGAGATAAATTTCAAAACATACCTGCCCCTTTGAGATGAGATATGCTATAATAGGCATGTGCTGGAACAACACTGCCAGGTGAATGCTGCTGAATCCCTCTCCATCAATAAGAGTGGGGTCTGCACCATGCTGGAGCAGTAATATGACCGTAGGTAAATGTCCTTGTCTGTAAACAGAAAAATTTAAAACATGCTGTATTCTGTGGAAGCAGAATTCATGTAGAAGAAGAAAAATGCCCACAAAGAAACTAATAGTAAGAGTTTTTAAATACTCGTGTGTGTGTGTGTGTGTGTACACCCTAGGAGGCAGGAGGCCAGAGGAGGACATCAGATATCAGATACCCTAGAACTGGAGCTACAGGCAGTTGTAAATCATCTGACACGGATGCTGGGAGCCAAATTTCAGTCCCCTGCAAGAGCAGCAAGTGCTCAAAGCTGCAGAGCCATCTCTCTAGCTCCAAATGTCTTTTACATAAATGATCCAAGTGTAGAACCACATGGATTATGCTTGAGGCAAGTCGAAAACTCGATACCCTCTTACTCTAAATTAAACCTTATGCTGCTACCATATGTAAATAGTAATTTCATATGATTAATGCTAACAATGAAAACTTCAAAACCCCTCAGACTTCACTGTTGCTTCCAAAAAAATTATAAACTAGAAATGAGGGAACATAATACTAAGACTATTGATACACTGTGAAAACATTAAGAACCATGCCTTCTTTTACTCTAAATTAATATTTTCCATTTAAAGTGATAAAGCTTAAAGAAGCAGCTTAACAGAGAGGAGCAGCCCTTAGCTCCTTCAAACACCTGCGTATGGAGACAAGATTTATCTATGCCTTATATGTTTAATTGTTCTCTTTAGTTACAGGTTGATGTCAACCTCTCTTCAACATCACCAGCCAGAGAGGGTTAGGCAGACACACTTATTCCTTCAGCTTCAGAGGATCAATGAACTTCACGGAAAGAAGTGTGGCTGGACAGTATAAATCTAGTAAGTTGGTCTACTCAAGATTATCCTGCATCAATTTCACAAGAGTTTTCCCACTCACCCTTAAAAGACAGAGTTACACTTTACATTTGAGAGGGACTCTATCACCTTAAAACAGTGTTATGCTGTAAGCTTCCAAATGGGCATGGGAGACTGAACTGACTGATTTACAACTCATTGGCCTACTGCTTTCATTCACATAAACCAAATATAAATATGTTCATTCTAGCTTAAAAAAAAAACAAAACAAAACCTGCTATTTCTAGCTGAATGTGATAACCACAATGGATTCCAGAAGCAAACACTAAAACACATTTTCTGGAATCACTTTAAAGTGGTAATTTCCTTTCAAATCAAGGGGGAGAAAAAGAAAAGAAATCCATTCACATTGTACATAATTGTGATTTAAGATATGCTACCACTAGCCACATATGGTTTAACTTCAGCATTGAGACACCTTACCGGATGGCCCAGTGAAGAGGAGTTGAATTTAAATCACCACCCAACTGATCTACAACAGCACCTTTTGAAATATAAAACCTGTTAAAAGCAATTGAAAATAAGGCATGAAATTTAAAAATTCATATTAATAAAGTAAACTCTTATTTTCTTTTCTGTTTAGAGACAGAATCTCATATATCCCAAGCTCGTTCCCAAATCACTATGTCAAGAATGACCTTTAACTTCTGATCCTCTTGAGTGCTGGGCTTAAAGGTGTACATCACCATCCCCAATTTTATGTAGTACTGAGAATCAAACCCAAGACTTTGGCAAGTCCTCTACCCACTGAGTCGTATTCCCAGTCCACAACTTGGTAATATAAAACAAAATTATAGAATCTATAGACGCCTCAAAAGTGTATATGGTAGTATCAGACAACTCCCTGGTGAAACGCTTGCAGCATGCGAATCATTATTCCTGATATAACTAGCATTCCGTTATCATACACATACCCAACACATAGCAACTTCTCTGCAAATTCTAATTATCACGGCACTCTTGAAATAGTCTACATTCAAGAAGTTTTTGAGACAAATATTCTGCTTAATTTGGAAGGAGAAAGGAGACTGTAACCTTTTTAACAGTCAAAATTAGAAGTATCATTGGGAATGAATTCTTAAAAGTAGAAAAAATTAATTTAAAATCCTTTGAGGCAAGTTAGACATCATGAATGTTCTATTTTGGAAGCACAGAGTACGATGCATGGTGGACAGCACGCCTTTAGTGCAACAGAAGCTGTCTTCATACAGCCTTCCTGTCACTGCTTCAAAGCTAGACTCCTGTATCACACTGCCCAGCACTATAGTATGAGTTTGTCTGCAGATATGATGGCATTTGGATATTTTAGACTTTAGTAAATGTCATTTTTTTAAGCCTCAAGGATTTTTAGATCTCCAAAAATACAATCTAATATGAAATCTGTATGTACTCACACACGTGTCTTTTACATGCTAAAGTATAAACTGTCAGACTGAACAGTGGACAGGCAGCAGTGCTTTCTTTATGAAGAACTATATAAACCACTACATGCTCACTTAAAAATTATATTCCAGATTTAATGTTTTTAAGTCTGATTCCTTACCTACCTATACCTCCTGTTATTGTAACACAAAGTAGTTCAATGTCTTCTTTTTTTCTTCTAGAACAACATGAAGCTTCTATCCTGAGAAAGTTTGTTATGCTATGCTTTTCCTTTTCAAAAATAATTTTCCCCTTTTACTTATTAGCCTTTATCTTTATGATGGGTCCCTGGATTAGATGATCCCTAGGGTTCTCTTCAACTCTACAGTAACTGATGCATGTAGCAAAGCTAGGTATTCATTTACAACAGAAGACTGCAAATGGTTCAATACACATACTTGAAAAAGAGAGTTCCAGAATTATAAAGACAGTTAACACACACACCCCATCTTACTTTACAAGATCCAGCCTGTTGTTGATGGCGGCCCAGTGAAGAAGAGACACATTTTCTCTGTCTGGCTGCCTTACATCGTATCCTGCTTCCACCAACTCTTTACATCGTTCAAATATCCCATATCTCAAGATAAGAAACAGAAAAATGTCATTAATACTGGTAAAATAACTCTATATCAAAGTTTCTTCCATTTACCATGACTTTTGTTTATCTAAACTACTTTTTAGTCAACCCAGAAATAAATACAATGCAATTTTCTCTCAGGATTCATGGAAGACTGGTTCTAGGATTCCTGTGGATGCTGACATCTGTGCACATTCAAATTCTTTTATAAAATGTATTATTTTCCTAAAATTACACCTATCTTCCCACATACTCTAAGTTACTTATAATGTCTAATATAATATGAATGTTATAGAAACAGCTATCATACCACATTATTCAGGCAATAATGAAAAGATTTTATTAATGTACAGTACAGGTATCTCTACCATTCGTCGGAGCAGATTTTGGCAGCAGAGAGACATTGAAATGGTACCACTCTAATTAAAGAAAACATTAACCCTAAAAATACTCTCGTCTTTGATATAATATAAAAATATCAATTAATAGTCATCCAAATGATGGTCCCAGGGCCTTTAACCTTTGTATAAATGGGTAATTATTATATGCAAGTAATTATCGATATATTTTTAACAAGCATAAACATTAGCCAATGTTCATGCCAAACAGGGTTTTGACAGAAATGTCAAGTCACCATGGTAATACTAGTTTTGTTTGTGGTGTTAGAGAAGTATGACTGACATTTGATGATCAGTATGATGTTTGTACTTCATGATTAAAAATGGATTAGCACCTAATTCAGCCTGGTGAATAAAATATTTCAAAATATGTTCAACAGGAAGAGGTGAGATGGCTCCTAAAATTGACAAATTCCAAGCAGGTGAAAATATTGGCAGTAACTGATAATATAAATATCCACATCCAGCAACAACCACAAGGAGAAATTTTAAAATGTATTTCTATTTTCATGATAAGTAAAACAAGCCCACTCCTTGTTTCAAAGGGCGGAGAATGGATCTCTACCTTACTACCTTTCCTCCTATGTACCGAACAAACAAAAAGTCAGTGCTGCTGATACCCATAAAGTGAGCTGGTATTTCCATCTGATTTCTGTATTAGGTTGCAGTATACGTTAGATTCAAAACCAGAGTTTAGCTTTTGTGTCATTCTAAATCATTCATTCATTCAATAAACAATTACTTGACTAGGTACCTAATAGAAGACAGGAACTGTGCAAGAGCTCTGGGACTATAAAGACAACAGAGATGTTTTTACTAAAAAGATGCCCACAATCTAATGGAAGAGCCTGGTGCACAACCCTCTCAAGTATACTGTACTAAGTTTCTGACACTAGTGTGGCAAGTACACTTGGTGCTGGTAATAATGAACTACCAAAAATAAAATACGAAGCACCTACAAAGTAACATAAATTGCACATACATAACTGTAATTCAGTACGACGTCAGCACTAAACTGAGTATGCGGAAGACTTACTGAGTAGCTTTGACGATGTCACAGTTACTGGAGTCCTCTATAAGAGGAAGGATTTCTTTTGCTTTGACAAGTTCTTTGTTTTCATTTGCACAGATGCCATGTCGACCAAATGCCAGAGGGTGGGAGCCATGGCTGGGATTCCTGCACTGAAGAGCAAGAATTGACGAGGCATGTGAGAAAACTACTGTCATACTTAACTACATAATGAGTCATTTGTGCCATCAACAGGTTCTATATTAACAAACTGCTTTACTGAGGTGTATCTTATGGAAGATTTTATCTTAAAAGATGTTTCATACTACAAAATCCAAATTATGTATTTTGTCATAAAACAGAGGTGATCTGAAAAGGTACAAACGTGTTTTCTTGTAATAGTAAATAGAGGATCATGGCTACTGACACTGAAGGAACATTACCAGAACCTGCTTTCAGAGTAGTGCTGGGAACATTCTAAAATACTCTCCCACTCACTGTGTGAATTGATCAAGCTTGGGTATTTTTCCTTCCACTTGGAAGACAAACCTGCGGCATGACACGTGGCAAAAGCAAAGGGACACTCTCTCCCAGGGTGATGCTATTTAAGACTGCATTAGTGCAGGCTCCCACTAGACTTGCAAACTGAAGCTGATATGAAATCAGAGTCTGTGAGAGCACCATGTGGACTGCAAGGACTGCAGGTAGTTTCTACGAGTCAAGGTGCCCCAGAGTGACAGCAGAATGAAGACCAGATAGGCGTGGTGGTGCACATCTTTAATCCCAGCACTGGGGAGGCAGAGGCAGACAGATATCTGAGTTCCAAACCACCTTGGTTTATACAGTGCGTTCTAGGCCAGCCAGGGCTATGTTGTGGGAATGAGACCATGTGCAAGGGTAGGATGAGGGTGGGAGGGTGAGATCTTTATCAAATGTCCAGAAAGAGCTGAATTCTCTTAGTAACCTCTTGAGCTTGAAAAGGGATCCCAAGTTCCACAATGGAACACAGCACAGCCTTGCCACACTGAGCAGAGGATCCAGCTAACAAACAGAAACTATGAGCCAATCAGCCAACATTCTAAGCCATTATGCATGTGGAAATTTCTCAGGCAACAACAGATAAGTAGCACAGAAGTGACAACAGGGTTCCATGATGGTGAAAGCCATCACTGTCCAGGGAATCCGTCGCCAGGGCTCAGGTCCATAATCCAGCTACCCAAGAGAGCGGCCAATTTTGATACTTGTCAACAACTTCATTAAAATACTGAGTGGACAAGTATCAGGACAGGAGTTAAAAATCCCAGCACAAATGGGGCTGAGTCACTTTAACTCCTCCAAAGATCTAATTTTAGTTGAGAAACTTTCACAGCTTAAAATCTGAGATATCGCCCAAGTTTCTCAACGATTCCTAGAAATAAAAACATATCAAATACACATACTATTTACATATATTATAAATTTTTAAAAATAAAAACAGGCTCCAAAGTTGAACTCTAATGATGGTAATACCTCACACAGCTCATCTGCACAATGGCCAATCAAGCCAGTCTCTTCAACTATTCCAATTCCCAAGCAGGAATAAAGTATTCAACTTTAATAAATGTATTACATTGCCTTGTAAAACAATGACAGAGAATCAACTGGAGTTATATTTCAGTGGTGAAGTGCTTACCTAGTATGTGAGAGGTCCTAGGTTCAATCCCCAGCACCACCCAGAAGAAGGAGGAAGAAAAAGACATTGCAGTGACATAGAAGTATAGTGCAAATTCCTCAATAATTTTTAAGCAAAATAATAGGTACTAATATACAATTTTAAAAGATTTAAAAAAAAAACCAAACACAGCAGAACTCACACCTTCAAATAATTTACTTAAAAGATGATTAGCTGTTCCACTTCTACCCTCTTGAAATGTTATGAACTGTTTTTTCTTTATTTTATTACTTTATGTGTATGAGTGTATTGCTTCTATGTGTGTAAGTACACCTGTGTCATGCAATGCCCACGGAGCCAAACAGGGCATCATATCTCCTGGAACCGGAGTTACTGACGTTGTCAGTCACCATGTAGGGGCTGAGAACTGAACCAACTTCATAAGGTTAAGCAAAAGGCTGACTAAGGTTTCACAGGCTGGAACAATGACCAGAGCTTACAAGAATCAGTTAGTTGTGCAAACTATGATCAGCCAAAATGGAGAGTCTGCTGGGTTATCAGTGGAGACTTAAGAGAGCCATGTCGCAAACCTGGACTACACCTGGAGTAAAGGCTATATACCAGAACCACACTAGAGGGACTTAACATCAAGCTTCAAAGGATTCAGACTAAGTAGCAAGCAGCATAACTGCGTGCCAAAACAATACCCAACACTCAGTAATGGAAGGTGACAAATACCAGATATTCAACAACGTGCATTGAGAATATCCACCCTTCAATCAAAGCCCCTAAACATCCCAAGAAGCAAAGGTGACTCGGGACCAGAAGAACCAGACTTCTAAATAATACAGGTAACAGAAGAAGCAAAAAATAAAGAAAAAGTAAACATTAAAAAAGCCACCATAATTATGCATAAATATTTAAACATTCCATATTAAAAGAAACAAAAGGGTGGAATTAAGGGTGTAACAAAAGATCTGGTTAGACTACCTACAGTTAAAAAAACAATCTCTGAAATCAAATTTATATACTAGATGAATTTAACAGCAGGTCAGACAGTACAGAAGGGGCCAACGGAGAGCTCAGCTGGAAAAACACTTGCCTTATAAGCACAGACCGTTTGAATTAGATTCTCAGAACCCACAATAAAGATAAAAATAAAAACACGAAGCTGGCCATGCTCACGAGAGCAAGCTCAGTGCTGGAGGAGAAGAGACAGCAGACTCTTGGGGCTCTCCAGCCAACCAGCCTGGCTTACTTGTTGAGATCCAGGCAGATGACAGACCATGACTCAAAAAAAGAAAAGAGGTGGACAGTGCTTGAAGAACAACATCCAAGTTGTCCTCTGGTCTCCATACACACGTGTGCATGTATGTGCACCTACATACATATGTATATTCACACACAGAAAATAGTACCAAAGACGATCATTAAATTCGAAGAAGAGGGGAAAAGAAACAAGCATCTGAAGTGATGCACAGAAAACAAAACACCAAGTGTATGACTGGAGTTGGAGAAGAGGAAAGGGCAACTTAAAAATACCACAATAAGCTGGGTGTGGTGGCGCACGCCTGTAGTCCCAGCACTTGGGAGGCAAGGCCACCCTGGTCTACATAGTGAGTTCCCTGACAGCTGGGGCCACAGGGAGACCCTGCTTCAAAAAGACAAAAAAAAAAAA